TGCGGCAACAGGACTTCGGACAGGGGCATATCTTGTCATCGGCCATCCCACCATCACTCCCTCATGCCGTTCCTCCCTGTATTCCTCCTCCTTATCGCATGCCCATATAGCGAATCCCCATCTTTCTATGATTCCCCCTGTTCTCTTCAACTGCATCCCCGTTCCCTCTTCGTCATTGACTGCCTCTCCTTTCCTCATCAACAGGTTCCTCCTCATCAGTTCCCTCCTCCTCACAAGCCTCCTCTTCCTCACTCAGCATAGTTGTCCTCTTCCTCCGTCGTTCCTTCCTCCCCTCCATCTCCTCCTCCCATCTGCATATGCACACATTCATTCCTTTGAGCATCGCACTTCTTTCTCCTCCACATATTCCGCCTCCCCCCTCCATCCTCCTTCATTGTCTCCCTTCTTTCTCGTCGTCCTCCTCCTCCTCCGCCTCCTCGATGAGCACATCCCTTCTTTTCCCGGTCAGTTCTCTACTTGCGCTCCTCATTCGTGTATGATTCGTCCGAAACGTCTCTACCTCTCTTCCCTCCTCCTGCCACGTCTACATACGCATGCTGTCATACTTGTCCTCCTCGTCATCCTCCGTCTCCTGTGCCTGCTTCCTGCCTCCCCCCCATCCCACTTTATATTTCACCATCCCCCTCCTCCTCCTCTTCCTCCTCCTCCTCCTCCTCCTCCTCTTCCCCAACCTTCTCTCCCCCCTCCTGAATTAAGCCTCGCTGGTCGCGATACATGTTGGTGCAAGCCCCTTAAATGTTTCTACGTTTTCTCTCGCCCCCCTCCTCCTGATGCTCGTCTTCCTCCCTGCCGCGCTCCTCATATTGAGCCTCATTCCCCTCTACCTCCTACTCATCCTCCCCGTCCTCCTTCCCTCCTCTCCCCATTCCACTCCTCATGTCCATCCACAGGCCACGGATTCCTTCAGAAGCGAGTTCGCTTGCGATGTACAAGCATTTGTTCGCCTCAGAAGTTAGGCTCCGCTGGCCCAGCTGACACGCCTTCTGGAATCGTGCGTCCCTGCCTTCCCCCCCCCCCAGGAGTATCATGCTCTCGGCGGCGCTCGCCCTCGTCCTCCGCGGGGAGGCCAGGGCCAGTGCGATCCTCGAGCAGGCGAAGGAGGGCGACCCCACGCCCAGGGAGGAGGAGGAGGAGGAGGAGGAGCAGCAGGAGGAGGAGAAGGAGGAGGAGGAGCAGGAACAGGAGCAGGAGCGAGGACGGAAAGAGGAGATAGGGATGAGAGGAGGAGGAGGAAGAGGAGGAGGAGGAGGTGATGATGATGTTGCTGCTGCTGCTGCTGCTGATGATGATGATGATGATGATGATGATGATGATGATGGTGATGATGATGATGATGATGATGGTGATGATGATGATGATGATGATGATGATGATGATGATGATGGTGATGACCAGCCTATCCAGAAACGATGCCCAGGGGAGTTGAGGTGATCAGGGAAGTCGGGGAGCATGCAGAAAAACAAAGGGCGGGGGAAGCTGTCACGTACCCCAAGAGGGGGAGGATGGAGAAGGAATCCTCGTCGGAGGGGGAGGGGGAGGAAGAGGAGGAGGAGGAGGAGGAGGAGGAGGAGGAGGAGGAGGAGGAGGAGAAGGAGGATGTGGAGGAGGGAGAGGACGAGGAGGACGAGAAGGAGGAGACGGAGCAGAGGGAGGAGAAGGAGGAGAAGGAGGAGAAGGAGGAGGAGGAAGAGGTGGATGAGAAATTGAAGAGGACGGCGAACCGAAGAGCCAGAAGCGTCTTAAATGCATTTCGGAGATCTTCTTGAGGCTTCTTGGGGGTCTCTTGGGAGCCTCTTGGAGGCCTCTTGGGCGCCTCTTGGGGCCGTCTGGGCGCCTCTTGGGGCGCTCTTGGGGCGCTCTTGGGGGCTGTAGGGGCGCTCTTGGGGCCATCTTGGAGGAGATCGATCGACGAAGGGGGGTTCCCTAATTAGCCTCCCCCCTCAGGAGCTCCAAACATCGCCTCTTGGGGCGCTCTTGGGGCGCTCTTGGAGCGCTCTTGGGCGCTCTTGGGGCCGTTTTGGGGCTCTCTTGGCCCTCTTGTGGGGCCCTCTTGGGCCATCTTGGAGCCATCTTGAGGCCTTGGATGGCCATCGGAAGCGAAACAGGGAGAAAGCAAAAAACATTGATTTTCCTAAGGTTTTGGGACGATGTTGGCCTCTTCGGGGCCTCATTGGGGAGCTCTTTGGCCACTTGGAGCCGTCTTGGGGCCGTCTCTGGGCCTCTTGGAACCATCTTAGGAGCCATCTCGAGCGATCTTGCGCTATCTTGAGCCATCTTGGAGCTCATCTTGGGCTCTCTGACGCGCTCTTGAAGCCATCTTGGGGCCAAAAGAGCCGTCCGACCGCTCGGGGAACCCTCCGTCCAGGTCCAGGGGAGGGGGTAGGGGGAGGGGTAAACCTCTCCCCAAGGGGGAAGAGGGAGGGGTGGAAGAGGATCTGTTCTAGACCACCTACGCCCAGAGGGCTGGTGGGATTAAGACGCCAGGGGGCCGCGGCGGCCCTCAGAGGGTTACCAGGATTAGTGGAACGAACAATGACATAGACATAAAAAAACTCGGGGGTCCGCGCAGATTTCTCGGCTCGGCGCTGGGGCCCCCTGGCGGCGCCTCCGGCGCCGCCCCTGGCGCGCTCGAGGGGGGTCCAGCGCGGAGCCAAGCAATCCGCGCGAACCTCCGAGTTTCTATGTTTGTGTAAGGTTTCGTTCCCCTACCTCAGAGGGTTTGCCGCCAGGATGGGCTCGACTTCGCAAGCCCGCGATGTCGGCAAGCTGGCAGCCGCAGCCGCCAGCAAGGCCCAGCAGCACACCACCTTCGGCGGGAGCCTGACACGCGACCACCTGCAAGCACGTCGCCATTGAGGCCCCCGCTGGCGCGCCCCAACTGGAGTACCTTTGGGCGCCGGGCGATCCGTTCCCGACTCGGAGCAGAGGCTCTGGAGGGCACAGTGGAACCCCTCGCCAAGAAACACGCTGCATGCCTCCAGGGTGCCCAGGGTTTCTTAGGTTCCGATGGTTTTGCTACGGAGAGTGCGACGTTCCCACGCCAAAAATCCATGGACGTCCTGGAGTCTCAGGGTCGGGTTTCTTGTGGAAGGTTTCTTCTGGTCGAGCTCCCACTGTATTCCGCCATCGCAGCACCTCTTTCAGCTGCCGCCCACCTTTCTCGCCTCCTGGCCGGCCCACTCCAGCCAACAGCACCAGGGGGCAGCGCAGTGCGACCTCTGGAATGCTCCCCTTCCGCCCATACGGTAATTTCGAGTCGTGTTGACCGGCGGCGACTCCGCCAGCGGCGTTCAACGTTGAAACACGCGGGCGACTCAGAATCTGCCCGGACGTGGGTACTCTTGAAGCTTGCACGGGTGAACCGCCAAATCCTCAGAACACGCTTCTCTCAACAGTAGTGATGTGGTGTTTCTTGTGTTTCTGCCCGTGGCCACGACCCCTGAGGCCACCTTGCAAGCGGAGAGGAGAGGGATAGCCTGCTCAAACAATCTTTCCAGCGACGTGGATGCGGCGAGCGGCCGCCAGGGCGAAAGCGTTTTGCCGGGGAGCAGTGCTGGACTGCAGAAACCAGAAGGGGGTATCCTGTACAAAGCGACTGTTTGCATCAAGCATCCCGCTTTCTGGTTTTGGGCGTGCTCGGCGTTCCCGAAACCAGGGGGAACAATTATTTACATTCCGGTTAATGTTGACACGTTGCCTCCACCCCTCTCGGGTTTTGGGTTGCTGTGTGGGCACGTCCTCGCATGGCCTTGTGCATTCAGTTAGCTCCAACAATTGTTTTGCGTCCTCTTTCTCACTGTGGTAGTTTCCTTCTCCTTGCTGGCCCCGCTCGCGCATCGCTGCCCGAAAGGCCGATCGCGCTGCCCATGTTCAGCCAACGCAAGCCTGGGATACCGCTGCCGGCCGCAGCGCGTCCGCATTGCCAGCACTGCCTCGCGCCACGGGACACGGGGCAGCCGCGCGCCCGATACGCCGCGTGCTGACGAGGAGGGTCACCACCTACCAAACCACCCCAACCCAACACGAAGGCCTCAATTTGCCCTCCATTTCCGGGGGGTGGGGGTCGGGGAACATTGAGAAAACACCTATGAAGCCCGCACCCCCCCCAACCCCGAATTCGGGTTTTCGGGTTGGGTTGGGGTGGTCTGGTAGGTAGTCAGAGGGGAGTTGACAGCAAGGCAGGCTAAGATTACGGGAGGGGGATCTGCGCCCCCACCTTCAGCACGTTTTTTGTATGGGAGAATGCCGCGCCACGGACGACCCCTCTTCAACGACGCCTCGCGCAGTTGGAGGGGGCTCATGCGTTTCTTGGCGGTCCCTGTCGTGTCTCTCTTTCCCCTCCCCCACCTCGTGTCTTCGGCCCCCCCCCCTCCGTTGGCGATCTGTTGCCGTCCTCTTCGAAAGTTCGACGCCACAGCGGCCCATTTTCAAGATCAGACCCTCCTTGCCCAACTGCGTACTGAGCCGAGGGCTTCGACCACTCCCAGTGGCACAGTCCGCAAATTGCAGATGATCGCAGGAGGAGGCGGGGGGGAGGTGGAGGAGGAAAGGGGGGGATAATGAGAAGGACGACGGCGACGGCGACGACGACGAAATATCGGAGGTGGAGGAAAAGGTAAGTATTGACACGGTGGACAAGAATGTGGAGATGGAATTGGCTGTGGTGGTGGGGGGGAGGAGGAGAAGGTATTAGAGCAGCCGGAGGTAGAGGAAGAGGTAGAGGAATGCAAGGCGGAGCAGGACGTGTAGGATAGGGTCAAGGTGGAGGGCGTGGAAATGGAGGAGGTGGTGGTGGACGAGGAGGGGATGGAGGGCGAGGAGTGGGCGTTTGCGAAGGAGTGCGACGTCGCACTCGAGAAGGTGCTCGGCAGACTCTTCGGCCGGCTGACCTCGCAGCAGGGCGGCTCGCAGTGGCGGGCAGCCAGAGGGGGCTCCAGGTCCCCCCTCGGTCACTCTCTCTTTCCTTCGCCATCCTCCCCACACGTCTCCTATAGTTCCACCCCCCTATCTCCAAGAGTATGTGCTCAAAGGCATGGGCCATACACAGCTGTGACAAAAGTTTCATCAGTTTGCCATGGCGAAGATACGTAGATCCCATCCCTGTTGAGACTCCTACCATCACATGATGCTGGCATCATTCGGCGTAGTTTCCGATCCGCCTGATGTTTAGAACTCTGTTGACCCAGAACCAGATCGGTAACTACTCCGCGCCACACCCTATGAGGTATCGAGCGGATTGCGCCCGCGCGCGGAGTAGTTGCAGCATTTGTTCTCCGAGTCATCCCGCCCTGATGCGTTGTTAGCGAAGGCAGATTAAAGGACACTCACTTGCGTCACGGTGATGTAACGCGCGCTATGGCACCCTACCCCCCCTCCTCAGGCCCCCCCCCTCCATGTCGGGACGCCCCGCCTCCGCCCTTCAGTGCGCCCCCGGCACTGGTGCAGCGCACGCGGGCCACCGCAGCCTCCTAGCAGAATGTTTGGCGGTCTGAGCGCCCGCGTTGCATATGCGGGTAGCTGTGGTGCTCGCAGGCTCTAGCAATTAGTGTTCGCAAGCTATTGCATTGTTCGCAGGCTGTTGCGGTGCTCGCAGGCTGTCACCGGTTTGCTGCCCCTGCTCGCGGACACGCTGCCAGCGCTCCCAGGCTATTGTGGCACTGGCACTTGCGGGGTCTGGCCTTTTTGCATACACGTGTGGCGCTCACGAAATATCGTTGTACGGCGGGTCTGGCTTCCGTGGCCAACTGGCGGTCGGAAGCACGGCGTGGTGCTCGCAAGCACGCTGTAGTGGTCATAGTCGGGGCTGGACAGAACCCCCACCCTGACACGTCGATTAGTGAATTGTCCGTTTTCGGTTCTCGAGAGGGCGCCGCGGCCGTCATTTTCCAGGCTTACGCCCTCCAGGTTTGGGCCCCAGGTCGTTGTCACTAAACCACGTTTTGCTAAAGGGGGCTCTGTCCATCCCCGGCATAGGCTATTGGCGTGCTCCTCGTCGCCAGAGGCGCTGGCGCCGGCTGCGGCCCCCGACTGAGCCCCCCCACATCAGGCGGGCACCCACGGCACCCCCGACTGCACAAAAAAAAAAATTGCACAAAAAAACACAGGATTGCACAAAAAAACCCACAAAAAAAAAAAAAAACAGGATTGCACAAAAAAACCCAGGATTGCACCAAAAAACCAGGGTTTTTTTGTGCAAACCCAGGGTTTTTTTTGTGAAATCCAGGGTTTTTTTTGGTTTTTTTGGTTTTTTTGTGCGTTCCCCCATATCAGGCGCGGATCCCCGGTTTTCCCCGGCATCCCCCAGACCCTGCCCAGACCCCCCTGGGGAATCAGGATGCTCTCTCTTTTGACCCCACTAGAAACCCATCAGTCGTCGCTGTTCGGTAAAAATGCGAGAGCTGCCCGGATTGAGGGCGGGTCGTTTTCAAAATGTGGTTCTCGCCGTAGCGCCGCGCACATTCGCTTTAAATTGTTGCAAGAGTTTCACAGATTGAGGGCGGATCGTTTTCAAAATGTGGCTCTCGCCTGAGCGCCGCGCATATGGGTTTTAAACATTAATCGTCGATTCCCCAGAAAATATGGGAAAATATGGGAAGTGGGGGAGAAAACAGAAACCCAGAAAATATCAGAAAATATGGGGAATCCTGTTATTTGTGTGTATTTATTTGTGTGTCCCAGGGCCCCTTCAAGTTTCACGGCTTCCCATGATCAACGTACCAGAAATTATGTCTTGGCAGGATTCAGGATTATGCGGGTGCAACAGTTATGTTGATTCGCGGTGGTGAAGTCCCAAAAATTGTGCTCTGGCACGATTCCGGATCGTGCGGACGCAGCAGTCAGGTTGATACGTGGCGTTGAAATCCCGAAAACAATGTTTGGGCCGGCGTCAGGATCTTCAAACGGTTGTCCTCCAACGAGGCAGTTCCCTCAATGGAAATGAACCGATGTAGGGGCGCATGAAGAGAGAGCTTGGAGGGAGGGTTAATTCCAGCATCGTCGATGACTATTAGGTTTACACTGGTCCTCCTCCTCCTCCTCCTCCTCCTCCTCCTCCTCCTCCTCCTCTGCCTCCTCCTCCTCCTCTGCCTCCTCCTCCTCCTCGCCCCTCCCCCCCCCAGGGAGCCCAGCGGCGGCAGGCGACACCACGACGCAGGCGCGCGCGACGGAGGCGCGGCGGCGGCGGCCGCGCGCCGCCGCGCGCCGCGGCCGCGGCCGCCTCCACCGCGCGCCACCGCGTCGCCGCGGCCACCGCCTCCCGCCACGACGACGACGTGCGGCGACGGCGACGATGACGGCGGCGACGACCGCGACGGTGGCGGCGTCGGCGGCGGCGCTCGCGCTTTGTTCGCCGGGAGCTCGGACTCTCTCGATTCTTCTTGGCGCGAGGCCCAGGCCCTCGCAGTGTTTGCATGGCAGGCCCGGGCTCGCGCGGGTTTCTCACAGGAGGCTGGAACTCCTGTGGCTCCTGCTCCGGTCCCGGCCCCAGGCCCGCCGCGGCAGCGATTGGGAACGGGAGGGGGCGAGGAGGAGGGACGCAGGGAGCACGGAGGTCGGGGCACGCAGCGCCACCGATAGCACCGATGGGGGCCGCAGCGCATTCGCATTCCGAAGGGGGGGGAGAAGGCCATTCTTCCTTCATGATGTGGCAGTTTTTACTCGCACTACACGCGGAGGGGGGGGCATTGGCAAATAATTGCGTCGGACAGCGACTTGTGGTCCCAATTGGACGATGGTTATGTGCACCGTACAAGCAGAAACAGGTCTACCCTCGACTGCATGAGCGGCGCCCTGGCGCCCACTCCCAGCCCCGCGCGCGGCCGCCCCCTTTGTCCGCATCCACGCGTTCGCCAGCCACCTTATGGCATCCACTCGCCAGCCCGCCGACGTCGGCACTTGGCTCGTTCCGTTGATTACTCCAGCCCAGTCCCACCTGCCTTGCCCACGCGCATCACATCCCTACCTCCGCGCCCATCCGCATTCCGCTCCTGCCGTTATGATCGTCGTGGGCTCTTACAGAGGGAGGTGCAGAACATTGACCAAACCACATCCCAAACTAGGTTTTGGAATAGGGTTTGAACTACATACCGACCAAGATTGGGAGTCCCAAACTAGGGCCCCAAGTACACGCAAAACTACCTCCGACGTAACATTCCCAACATACATATACACTCTAGCACTACGGTTGATACAATTCCAGCACCGCATATACGCGCCGAAACACAACATCGTAACTACTATCCTCTACTCTTCTTGTCAAACTATTATATCATCTAGTGCCCAGAAGCTTCCATACATAATATTAAATGTTGCATGCCTCGCGTTACCATGGGTCTGCTCTCGAAAATCCCCCGCTCTTCCTCCGACTACTCTGGGCCTCGCCCCCCTGAACACTCATAGAAATTTCGTGGCGTCCCTCTTCTATATACCTATTCCCTCATCATCGCTGCCGTCGCGTAGGAGGTAGGTATCAGGAGGAGGAGGAGGTAGGCAGGAGGAGGTACGCATCAGGATTAGGAGGAGGTAGGTAGGTATCAGGAGGGACGGCAAGGAGTAGATATCAGGAGGTAGGTCGGTATCACGAGAAGGGACAGGGAGTAGGAGGAGGTAGGAGGTAGGAGTAGGAGTAGGTAGCCAGGAGTGGGAGGAGGTAGGTAGGTAGCATCAGGAGGTAGATAGGTCTCACGAGAGGGGACAGGGAGTAGGATGAGGCAGGTATCAGGAGGGGCGGCACAGAGAATGGGGACGACAAAGATGTGAATGAGGAGATAGAAGAGGAAATAACGGGCCCACCCCCTCCTGTTCACATCCCGCGTCCCTGCCCAGGGCAGATAGAGACGACCAAGCAGTATCCTGCACGTATGCTTTACCATGTTCCTCTGTGCCCCCCCCTGTTCCATCCTCCATCATTGTGCTTATACCTCCTCATTGGCCCCTTTCCGTGCTCACTCCCTTCAGTAGTTCCTATCCTTGGCCTTGACCCCTCTCTTCATGATGGTAATCCCCGTCCTCTTCCGCTCCATCGCCCGCTCCACCGCGTCATGGCCAGCCGTGATGGCTCATGGAGGGCCCAGCGCCCCCTGAAGGCCTTTTGGCCGGCCCCGCAGGGGGGCATTTGCCCGACGCAGACGGTTGGGCAGGAGTCGGACCCCCGATCTCAGACGACGAAGACGGTTGGGCAGGAGTCGACGTCCCGATCTCAGACGACGACGGTTGGGCAGGAGTCAGCGTCCCGATCTCCGACGACGGTTGGGCCGCCGAAGGCGTCCCGATCTCAGACGGTGGGGGCTCCTGCGCTTTCGAGCGCGTCGATGTGTTCGCCGATGGGTTAGCCGCTCATGCCATCGAGTGCGCCGCGAGCCAGAAGAAACGGAGCTACATATTTCGAGTGTGCATGCCCCTCGCCAAGCGGACGTGCCGAGAATTCAGACGAGCACGCTCCGAAGCACGACGGCCAGCAGCAGTGGCACCAGCATTGGCCTTGGAAGATTACGGTGACTCAGAACAGCCTGGTCCACCAGCATTGGCCTTGGAAGATTACGATGATGACGTAAACCAGCACGGTCCAGCAGAGCATGACGACGCACCACAGCACGATCGAGACATTCAACTTGTGCCCCGTGAATACGAATCACCATTATCGAATGACCAGTTCAACATTGCACAGTGCGTGGAGCAGATCAACGCGATTGCGTCATGTAGGCCAGATTTGAAGCATATCACTAGCACAAAAGATTTCACGGCATGTCAATACTGGACTAAAGATAATACGAAGGTGCTCCCTTGGACTGATGAGTGCGATCGGCTCGGGATGTCCAGAGTTCAAGCAGAAAAGTTGCCCATGGCGACAGCATGTGCTTCGACTCTTTTACACTGGAGGGATGCAAATGTCATGTGCGGGCGATTGGTCGAGGAAGCTAAACACCAAGGTTGTGAACCAGTTCTTTGGACAGCGATGGTTCGATACGATGAAACGCCGATG